GCAAGAGCTGTGATGCGTGACAAATAAAGGTTTACATGCATTTTCACCAGAGTGTAAATTAAGATTTCTTATAGTATTAAAAATATATTAAAATTGGCCGTCAATCACAATATAAGATAATTAAAAGATTAAAACATTCTTTTTTTTACGTTCCGTATCGAGTACTCGATTTACATGTGGAACATTTACGACATGTTTCGGCTATATATAGCTACGATATTACTTCTTGGTCCATATACACAACATTGGCATCACTACGAAATACAATCATATTAGTGACTTGTGACACAACAACGGATGAAGATACAATATGAAGGACGAGAACATGATAACATGTCGTAAATGTTCCACATGTAAATCGAGTACTCGATACGGAACGTAAAAAGAATGTTTTAATCTTTTAATTATCTTATATTGTGATTGACATCCAATTTTAATATATTTTTAATACTATTTAAATAAATCACAATATGACGCATCTACAATATCTTATAAGATTTCTTATCTTGTTCCAGCTGCATGGCGTGTCTTCTCCAGTGCACTTACCGGAAAATGGACTCGCTCGGTTTAGCTTGCATATCCTCTCATTAAAAGGAAGAATTCTGTCAGATAGCTCTATAAGTACTTCCATCTTGCTTGTTGATTGTCTGTTGGATGATACCCGCTTCAAGAGCAACTCAAAGATTAAGCGCCTGATGGAAAGAAAGCCTGAGAACTCTGGTGTTTTGGGAACTGCAGTTGAAGGTCCATTCAGAAGTATGATTGATATGACATATCAGCAGAAGGGTTCTGAAATGTTCGGTAAGTTCTGTTGCGTACTGTCTTACTGAGAAATCAGTCAAGTGCCAGGTAGAAGCTGAAACCTGTAACTTAGGACCAAGCATATGATGGCATGCTGCTTGGTTAGAGCTACCACAAATTCCAAGGGTAGGTGATGATGAGTGTGGAACAGTGGTGAAATGATGATTAAAGGGGGGAAATGAAACAAATAAAAAAGTCCACATCATTCTCATTTCATCCACCATGAATCTCAGTAGTAATATACTATTATTTTGTATGTTCCATGGTTTTATTGTGCAGATTGCATAAGGTTAAACATGGATAATCTTTCTTGTGGTAAAGATACAAGGGCTATAAATCTTTGTCTCACTTTTCATGTAATTTGTGTCTGTTATTTCTGCTTCTTACAGTTGACCTCCGTGTATTTGGTTTTACGCTGACTGTGTGCCTGAGCTACTTAATGAAGGTAGCAGATTTCTTCACCAGTGGTGTGGCATCTCCTACGACATTGGTTGAGGATGCATCTGCAGAAGGTTTTACCTCACACTCAAGTCATCACACCGTCAAATCATCTAAAGCAAGCAAAGGCATAACCACGAAGGCAAAGTCATCAACTGCTGCCGCTGTTGTTGCGCCACCTCCTTCATCTTCCATGATGACTGTCAATATTCGTGTTGAGAAACCTGATATCATACTGGTGGAAAACATGGATGATCTGGACACCAATGCAATCATACTTAATGTATGTGCATACTTGTGAAAGCTGGCATTACTACATGTAGATACAAAGAGATTCATTCCTTTATTTGCTGCCTGTTCGTAGAGTAAGATACCGGCCAATGTTATGTCACATGAGAAAATCAGAGGTTGTAGGATTTGAGGTTTTCACAGCTTTAATTTTGATGATTTCCGTCTTCTGGGTTGTTGCGCTGTGTAGTCTGGTCGATGTTAACCAGCGTTTCAGAGGTCATACTGCCTCCGTCATCAGGGCGATGAGTATGAAGATTTCTGTCTTCTGGGTTGTTGCGCCGTGTAGTCTGGTAGATGTATACCAACGTTTCGGAGCTCATGCTGCCTCCGTCATCAGGGCGATGAATGTGCCAATCAACCAAAAAGGGCTAGGTTTATAGGGACCGGATGGTAAATGGAGTAGCCTGATCCTAACCAATGGGAGCTGGTGTCAAATTAGGCGTGGGTGGGGACCAATAGGAGTGCATGGGCCCCCACCGTAAATGTTCCATTGGCTTTATCTTCCTTCTTTCTTCATAAATGAATATAGATCCCAGTTTGTACACTATATTTTCTTGTCATGTTTTAAATCTGTGTAGCTTCTTAATTTATGACTGTTGATTCCTAGGCCACTTTGAAGTCGAAGATGAAATTTTGTCTTGCCTCTCATTAATTTCTCTTTGAGACTGTACCTGCCAGTAGGAAACACTATTGGTGCTTCCATCACAGTCACACGGTGAACATAACATCAGAACTGAATTGACTCAAAATCTTCAATTCACATTTATAGAGTTGTACTTGTAAGTTCAATGTAGAATGAAAACCTATATCGGCTGTAAGCCACTGCTTATGCATTGTCCAGCTGATTGGATGTTGCAGTATCGTACTTCGAAATGGTTAAAACCCAGAACTAAAGTTGAAATGGTAGCTTTACAGCACAGGAATTTATATCGCCTATTCCCTTGCAACAAAGTTTAAGTAATGCGATAAAATTATTAAATCTTGAAGTGTGAATTCTGTATAACTACTTTACCACAGTTAAACAAGAAAGAGAAGTGAGTACTGAACTTCAGTTCTAATGGAGAAAGACTTTTTCCTACTGTAATAAACCATGTTTGTGGTTTTTACCACTGCGCAACAAGTTCCGCATGTTTTGGCATTTTACATGAAAAATTCTACAAAAAGTAGTGAGTGCAGTTTTTGTTATGTCATTTTTGTCTTATTTGTAATGTGATTTGAGACTCTGTAGTCTTGTTAGTATTTATGACGATCTACATTTTTACTGCCATGAAATGATTAAATCTCGTGTGTTTTCAGTCTAATTAGTTTTTATTCCTTTTATTACTTTAGGCTGTATCACTTATGTGCATCTGACAAAACTTAAAGTTAGTTTTTATCCCTTTTATTACTTTAGGCTGTAGCACTTATGTGCATCTGACAAAACTTAAATATGTTTCATGATCATTCTTCTTCTTTGAACACTTGATGTTCATTGCAGAATGAAATCACTTTCAAGCTTCGCATAGCTGATAATCATCAAGTGATGACTGGCTCTATCAAGGACTTGCAACTGTATTCGTGCTGTTTTAACCCTGAAAGGAGAAGGGAAACTATGGCTCAGGTATGTTGAAAGTTAGTTTAATCATGTGTGTGTGGGTGGGTTTGTGAGTTATCTTTCGCATTCCCCCAGGCAGTGGTTTGTTATGATCTTTCCTGGCCTGTGCCAACTTAGATAAATCTCTGATGCATTATTGAGATTGGAGGACCCTTGCTCCTGATGGTAGGGTGATAATGAGGGAGAAGGTTACTGTAGGGTATGTGCTGTCTAATGTGGCTCTTGAACCACAGTGGGCACTTGGAGTACTTAACATTCCTGAAGTTTTCCACAACTTCTCTTTGATGGTGTTTCCATTTTAAAATCAAGGTCCCTCTTAATAGCAGGTTCATTTATTGTAACTAACTGGTTTTCTAATATCGCCATTTATACCATTAATCCTAAGTAACAAAATAACTCTTTGCTGAGTCATTGTGATTTGTTTTACCTTGGAAGGTTTTATCTGATAACAATTTTTTGTGTACGCTATAGGTACAGCTGAATGTTCCAGGGAGTTCTGTCTGTATAGCTGGTGGAAACAGAATGGCATGTTGATTATAATGCTTATTGGTACATTTGTATTGCCACGTATGTTGGTGGATGGCGGCTTGCAGGAGTGACACTTTACTAGGGGGGCTTCCCTTTGAAGTCACATATGGAATTTCTGTCCGGAAACTTACGTGGGCACAGCTTGAGGGTGGTGGTATATGGAGGAGCACTGCATTGAAGTTTGACTGTATTGTTTATACAGAGCATTTTTGTTGCAGATTCTGCATCCATGCTGCATTAATCTGGCAGGTTCTACACCAGATGGACAAGGCCTTCATCTGGATTTATGTGTGACAGATATTAGACTCAGGGTTTCACCTGGTACGTACAAGCATGGATGTGACCGATTCTTTTGCTAGGTCGATGACTTGCCTTGTTTTTGGGCCATATATTTTAAAAGAAGTTTGGGGTGTTCAGATTGTCCAGAGAGATTATTTCAGGTCGTGAAGTGATCTTTATTTATTTAAATTACTGGACTGAAGTATCTATCAAGCCTGAAACAGATTAGGTGGTGTTCTGGGTTGTTGCACTGTGTAGTATTTTGGTTGTGTGCCAGTGTTTTGGAGGAATACTCATATATTGCAGCCAGAATACAAAGCGCAGCCACACGTCAGTTTGCGGACCTCAAATCCTGCGGGCCTAAATCTAAATTGTTGTATGTCTCAGTGTACAGGAAGAACATAGAAAGTGTTCAAGAACGCTTTGATGAGAAGAATATTTGGATGCAGGAGAGAAGCAACTACAAGAGGGTGAGATTAATGGGGGAGATGAGAAATAAATACAAAATTTTAGTCAGAAAAACTTAAGGGAAGAGGCCACTTGGGAGATGTAGGCATAGATAAGATATTGAAACTGATCTCAAATAATTTATGAGGTTGTGGATTGGGTTCATCTTTGTTCTTTTGGCCATGCTAACAAACTTTTAAGATTCAAAAATGGTGGGTAATTTCTTGACTCTCTTGAGTGACAGTGATTTCTCATCATATGTAATTCCTTCTTATACTTTTATCTCTGACAAACATAATTCTTTTCCTATCTTCCATTAGTGTTGGGAGATGGTAGCCATCTTTGCCTTCTACATTTTGTTTCATTCTCATATTTGAATAACTAATAACAATCAACTGTAGTGTTTGTCTTGGTAAAATCGTGTATTATTCGTGACAGTACTAGACATCAGATACATGAGTTCTGCCATGTTTTATAATTGAATTTGTGGCATATAAATGAAGTAAGTAGTTGGGTGTTACTTTACCTGTAGTTACAGATGTGGGTAGTGCCGGTGTTTGTTTTATGAATTTTGAATTTGCAATATGATACCAATGTTTTGGATGAACGTATTGCCTAGATCTTCAGGGCTGGGGTTGCTATCAGCCCACAAGTCCATATGGTGTCCCAATGAAATGTTAAGAATCATCATTACACTGAGACAGAGGGTGATGGTATGATCTTGTGACAGCAAAGACACAAAGACAAATATGTCAGAGTTTTCTATCATGTAAAAACAAAAATTGTCATTGTAAATCTGATTTTTTATTTTTTTAATGTGGGCACACTTTTCTTTATATTCTCTTGGCCTGTTTAACAGCTTCAACTTTAGGTGTAGTGAAGTAAATATTTTTATTTTTTAAACACTTGTTGTTAAATTTAAATTTGCTTATTTGTTTAGAAATTATCTGCAGACGTTTAACCATTTAGGTTTTTGTAAGATTTGAGGTTTTCACAGCGGTGAGTACGAAGATTTCCGTCTTCTGGGTTGTTGCGCTGTGTAGTCTGGTCGATGTTAACCAACGTTTCAGAGGTCATACTGCCTCCGTCATCAGGGCGATGAGTATGAAGATTTCCGTCTTCTGGGTTGTTGCGCTGTGTAGTCTGGTCGACGTTAACCAACGTTTCAGAGGTCATACTGCCTCCGTCATCAGGGCGATGAGTATGAAGATTTC